TGACACCGATGTACTGTAATAGTCTCTTGGCCAATCTTAATGTCCGCCCCTACCTTGGCGACAAACCACAAAACAGCACTATGAATATTTCATTTGGACCATCAACTAGAGCGGAGAGAAGCATTGTGAGTGTCCCAGTAATGACCTTTATGTTGAACACTACTGACATAGGGCAGACTGGTGACGTCGAATCAGATTCTTCGTATGAAGGTCGAATCCGGAGGGAAAATTAAGGTTCACCTGTAAGCCAATTGATGAAATGATGCCCCCCAGACCCCGACGGTTTGGATACTCGAGGAGTCGCAAATATAGAAGGGAATTAACCTGATACTTACATATCTATCATGTAATCCAGAGATCGAACTAATTTATCTTAATTTGACGCCACAAACAGTGTCTTGAATATACGACGTACGTCCCACAGTTTGCAGCGAATTGTGTTAGCGAATTGTATTCGAACGTTCCCCTATGTACCTCAGGAAAAAGAGCATCAATGTTCATATTTATTCTTCAAGGGTGAGTACGATAATACTATTAATAGTATTGATTTTGTAACAAATACTAGAGCGATTTGTGAAATGCCCATAAAGATACGGATTTCCGAAGTATGGCATCGCTCGGGCCGGTGTCGAAATGGGTGAAGTCGATAATTGGATGATTACAGTCAGCCCTGCCTGGCCTTCTTTTTTAAGCCTGAGAATAACGAGTTCAGTTTATGTATTCAGAAGATAACCGCAACTCACGCTCGTCCTCACTATCCATATCCTTGCTAAAGCTATCATCCATATCACTACTGTCATCGCTCTCACCAAGCCAAATTAAGTCATCCACCGTTTTTCCGTCATGATCGCCTAGTCAAAAATTGAATATATATTATGAAAAAGTTGAATGTAGTTTGAAGCTTACGATGACCGGAGGTTGGCTCTCGCCTGACGATGTCGAATTGAGGACCTGACCAAGTGAAGGACGGAGTTTCTGGACATGCATCCCAGGCGGTCCAAAATGGTACAACAGTCCTGAAACAGCATCTGATAGCATGTTTTACAGCCTCGTAGGTAACAGTTTGATTCAGCCCACCCGATGGGGCAGATTTTTCCGTCTGTTGCTTGTACCATAGTAAGGCCTTGGCCTGTTGAGCGAGGTAGGGCCAATAGAGAGCTTGTCGGGATTTGGGCACGATGGCCCCCTTCAGAGACAATTGGTAATGATCAAACGCCCAATCAACCGCTGTCCTTGAAAGTTTGCGAGCCTCAATCAATTCATGGCGCTCCCGGTTACATTTATCCTTGTCAGTATACAGTTTAGGAGTCAGTATATTTCCCATTTCGATGATGTTGCACAAAGTCAGTAAGTCAAGTAAGCCTGGGAAAGTATGGATACGCGGGACGTGTGCGGTATTGCGTTCTAGCTGTTATGAGCGATAGGTCACGAAGATTATACTAAAGCGCCTACCCCGTATTATGTTATCATTTGATGTGAGCGTACTATGGCAAAAGGCGAGCATTCTCCGGAGCAACTTGCGCGAGTCGATGCTATGCTGGGCATCGACAGTGTTATTATATAGGAAAGTATGAAAAACGCCGTAGCATGATTCGCGAATTGTTGACGCAGCATAGAAACGACCGCCATGACATATAGAAGGTTCAGGCATGATCGCGAGAAAAGGTGTGTTCGGTCGGAGGATTCTAGGATGATATTTAGCCAAGACTCCTTCCCGAACCGGAATTTCTACTTACAATCGGTGCCCGGGTTTCAACAAGATAGCTTCAAAGTCCCACAAAGTCGGATCTGGTGAATCTGGGGATCCCTCTTCCGTTGTATACTTATGCATATGTCTGAAGTCGTTCCAGAATGTCTCGTCCCATTTATCGAGTCTTTTGGGCTTGGCAACGATCCAACATTGGCGGCCAGCCTGAGGTTCGATGTATGTTGCGAAACCTTCGCGTTGGATCCGCCACATATGATATGCGCCGGCTGTCGAGGCCTGGCCCCATCGCGTACTCCGGACTGGGAACTCATGCCCCAGATCCGAGATTTCCGCCGTGGACGACCATGCCTTAATATCACTTGCGAATGATTTAAAAGGCGCAGAGGCACAAGTCATGGGTAACTCAAGCGCAATAAGAGATTTGCCGAAACTAGATCCTGCACTGGAATAGATATCAATGAGAGTCCCGCTGCGTAGGCGGGAGGTGCCAGGTTCGAGAGGAACACTTTGGTCTGAATATCACAATAAGAATAAGAAAAAGATGTCATCTTAAAACCTACCATAGATAGCTATTGGTTGGTTCAAACCACTCAAATTTTCGAGGTTCATCAAGTCAAATATCTGAGTGGGATGTTGCGGTCCAATAATAACAAATTGGCGGGTCCGAAGGACATCTTGCACGGCTTGGTCGGTAAGCCGACGGAAAAGGTCTTCTGTTATCATGCAAAATCCAGAGTTATGGGGATCCACTATAAAACGAGGTTTCCCGTTCATATAAAACGACTCCGCGCTTTTAACAATACGCCCCAAGAGCTGAACGTCCTCCGCAAGCTGAAGCGATATAAATCATGAAGACATTCTAATCGAGGCGAAAGAACCCTTACATGTGATTGAGGCGTATATAAAGCTGGTATATTTTCATCGGGACTATATAGTTGATGGGTAGTTTTCCCCACCACTTTCTGTAAATGAAGCTGAGTCAGGAGGATCTAAGAAAATGCTGAAAATCGTACCGGATCTCCAACAACATGGCCCAGACGTGGGGCGCATGTCAGTCGCTATGATCTAATAAGTTTACAGGTTCAACGATCAAGCAGGTTACTCACATTGGCTCGAGATAAGTCGATAATTTCAACATAGGGAGGCATAATGCTATCTCGGTGAAGTGGCCGAGTCGAAGTAGATGGCGTTTGGACTTCGACTTGGCTTTTCAGAGTTTTGTATGGCTTGCGTTGTACTGTCGCCGTTTTCTTTCGCTTTTTTGTGAGGTGTTTCGAGCTTATCGACTTTCGAGACTGGTGGGGGCTCGTATAGTCGTCAGATCCTTGATCAGAGCTCATCTCTTCCCCGACTGAGCCGTAGGGGGATTTAACCTCCTGCTTTAGAGGTCTTTTGTGTGGCGTTGGGGGAGTGGTGGTTGACTTAGTATTTTCGGGAGACCCACCAAAGGATCCATCCGATTCCGATTCAGAGTATGTGGGGGGTGGCGTGAGACGAAGTTTTTTAAGTTCATTCTTAAGCGATTTTGGTGGCGGCTTATATCGCACTGTGATATAACATCAGTCAGTAATAAACACGAATGGGCCACTTTTTAGTGGAAAAGTCACCTACATGGCGTAAACCAGGTAAGATCCGTGGGAGGTGTAGTCGATTCCGACAGCCGTATTACGATAAGTTTAAGGATTCGCTGGAGATTAGGTAAAAGTTCTATCTTGTGCAGTGTAAAGTCCCACAAGAGCTCCCAGAGTAGAGATTCTGCCCATCTCAGCGACTCGGGTCGGGATGAACCCAGAGCTTGCCAAATCTTAGGGTTAAACGGTCAACTTGAGTTGTGATATATGAATGACCACCCAACCTGACAAAGAGTAGGCCTTCCTGGAGTAGCCTTGTTGAGGACCGTTGATCCCACCAAACACAAGGGTGATATAGCGAGAGCTATGTGAAGTGGAGCGCGGAGCTGTTGCATATTAAAATTTCGGAGTATTTTTCCGACCGGCTCTGTCCCTGGGGGGCTGCGACTGTACATCATGATCAGTAAAACTACAAGACCTATCCAAACAATATTTACTTCTGCATTATGTTGACAAAAGTTTCGGGATTATCTGGAAAATCGGTGTTTCCCTTAATGGATGTGAGTTCATAATATCATATTGCATCATCGGACTGACTTCGAGCAAATAACTGAGATAGAGAGCAGCGCTTTCGAAATTGGACAGTGGAACAAGTTTTTGCTTATCTCCCTGAGTGTGACATAACGCAACGAAGTGACGGTACGTGCGGATCGAGGGATCCTGGGGACGGTCATCGGAAGGTGATGCCTGAAATGCGGCGCCCTCAAGAAGTGAAGACGAGCTAACGACGACTTCTCCCCAATTATATAGTGACCTAAATCCCTAAATAATGGGTAAGCTTTGCCCAAGTTTATGAATAAATCACTCACCATGTGAGGAGGATCCTTAAACCCATACTTTTCGAACGACGCACTGTTGAATGGTGGAGTCTTGTCATATGCGTAAACATCTAGTAAGCGATGTAAAATGATGAGAGAAGCCGTATGGGCTCTTTCGCGTGATGTGAACGGAAAATCGAAAAGCGGTGCATGTGGGTCTGGTTCCAGCTGTCCTTGAAAAAAGGCTTTTAGCTCGACTCGGTCCGGCCCAGTCTGTTTCTCAAGTCCCGATGTCAATGCTGTGCAAAACGGCTGTAACATCTTTTAGTACCTTGTAACCACCCAATAAATGAATCCTCTCACTTCTAACTCCCTCGGCACGGCTTGGGAATCGTCCAAATGTGCCAAGACATTCGTGTGCCACGGAAGTTTTTTAAATACACTTGTGACCCCTGCTTGAACGGACTCGGATTCACCTTCCATGTTTTCGAAATAGCTCAAGCAAAAACCGCGAACTCAAAATGTCGGTGTGGCCAGCGCTTGTTGGTTGAGAGGAGAAAGATATCGATCGCTGGATCGAATGATGTTCATCTTTTGAAACCATAACATCACGTGATGCCCCTAAGCCAATGGCAGACCCTGACTGTTCTTCGGAGTCTCGACCCTAAAACTTCATTATTCAAGGAGAGCTTGGTACATACGAGCTCTAATCGACAAACAGTAATTTAAGAGGAATGTTTTTACCTGTTGTGTACGAGTACTTCGAAATTGAATCCCATTTGGTGCACATGGTTGGTTTCGAATCTGATCAAGCAAGTATCGGATAACGCTAGTCTAGAGCCAAGACTTGAAGAGGTAAGACGGGGGAGACAGCGTAGGAAAAAATGCAGAACATTACGCCATAACCATCGACGAGACTCGAACTCGCAGCCTTTGCCTAAAGGTATTTATATTTGTAACCGGAAGACAACACACTAACCATTGTGCTACGATGGCGATAACCGACGAAATAGGCCGGTTGTCATTTGGTAGATATTTGGGGTTTTATTTTGAGAGTTTCGACCTGAGCCATAATGGTCATCGAAGGTTTTTCCATAACGTTGAGTATTAGCCCTCCTGAGTTATTAATAACCAGGCCACATTGACACCGAGCAATGGAGCGCTCAAATCATGATGTCCCATGGCTTAGTTGGTTACGGCGTCCGACTGTTAATACTCTCCAATCGGAAGATCGAGAGTTCAAGTCTCTCTGGGACAGTCATATCTTTTTTTTTGTCAACCGCAATCGTCCCACGTGTTAGGTCAATCAGTTGACTTCGTTTACGAGGATACCAGTAACGAAGGTTCAATTTTAAGGATGGAAAAATATATTCTTTCAAAGACAGTAGTATTACAGCGTCGGCCACCCTACATAAACTATTTTAATTAACTTGGATATATTTATTGTAGGTATATCAGGGAAAATATTCGGCGTGACCTTCAGTCTTATCATACCATACTGTTTAGAATAAACCATCCATCAAGTTGCTTCCTTGACGCCCAAACCTGATTTATCCATGCACACGCAACCACACCAAGTAATCTCCTGAGTTGTCGTTTGAGGAAGTTGGATTCGGGGAAGAAGCGAAAATCATGATTCGTGCCTAGACAAAGGCGACGTGCGTCCAAGAGCCCGTCGTTGGGCAGGGTAAAATTTCCAAAAGTGAGGAGAGGTCGACCCTGTCCGCTCGCCTCTCGCCTTCTCGGGGGCGGTTAACCTGAATATTTTTTCTGACAGTGTAAAAAGTCAAAAAGGTCGGCTAACAGGTTCATTTGGAGGTTGTCGTGAGGATGAATGTGGTGGGTTCTCGGTGAATATACGATATGCCTCGTCGATAGTAGGCTTTCCGAAGTCACCGGGACCGACGAAAATTTCACTACCACCAAACCAACATGACCCTTCCTGCCCTCCATAACTCAGACCACAATAGAACATTTAAAGTTTCTAGTGCTAATTCTTCTGATTTCGAGAACGTGCCTCCTAAAATGCGTGGACATGTAAAGCTTGTGGGAGGAGGCAGGCATCTTTTGAAGGTGGTAGGAAAATTTTGGGAGATGATAGCCTTCGTGATGAACATGAGGTCGCAAATTGAGGAAAGGGTTATAGGGGCAGAGTATGGAGGGGGGTATGACGGTAAATGAATAGTGCTGACATGACGTTCAGTTTACCGGGCGGCTATTCCCAAGGGCATTCTCAACTATGGTTGTATAAACGTGTTCTAGCGCGTACTTGCTTCGACTACCTAGAAAAGTCCATCGTCATTGAAATGATAACAAGTTTTAGAAAGCCGACTTACATCTTTAAAACAATTTCGGTAGGTCGTCGCTACGAAAAGTGGTCCTGGTCTAGTAATAGAAACGTTGAGCAATGAGCTTTCCGTAGTCCTAGAATTTTCAGACTCGGCACCGCTACGAAAAACTGGTAACTGGAACTGTTAGTACGCTCGAACGTTCACGAAATCAACAATAACGCACTTTTGATATTTTAACCCACATATCTATGAATTCTACTGCAGACTAAATCACTCCCAACGAAAAGATTCAGACGTTTCACGAATGATGTAGGGATTTTTTTTTCCAACTTTCGAATAAGCGTCATAGACAAATTTGCGGTCTGTATTAGAAATCGTAAGAAATCACGTCAGTGTGTGTATAACGCCAGAAAGAGTTACACATCATATCTCACAGTAACGTTTATGATTGGTTATATCAGAGGTGGAAGCATACACACGAGCAGGTCTTATCACCCGAAGTCAGACATGGTTCTGCGAGGCGCAGGAAACGATTCGGTTAAAGTAGGTTCATAGCCAGATTTTGCTGGCATTCGAAAGATCCGTAATTGCAGCTTTGGCGAGCTCGAGCGCAAATAGGATGCGAATGTCGAAAAGGTGGGCGCTACGAAAATTTTGCAAGGCTCGTTTCTCCAAATTCACGTGCACGTGCGGGGGTCCACGTGAAAATTTAATTATTTAAAAAAGCGAACTGGTTCGTTCACTGATCGTGAGAACCAACAAAAGTGGAACGCAGCCACAGGTCGTCAACAACGATCGTCGCAACTTTCTACCGTTCTCTAATTCAAGCTTCTAAGCCAAACGAAGATAGATGCTTTCTTTTGGCGAACTTTTGCTATCATAATTCTTAGTGATTCTTAATTCATCCAAATAACTTGGCGATTGCAACCGTGGTTGACAAGTGGTGGGGTTTGTGTGGTACGTGGTGGCCTTTCTAAATTATATTCTCTTACTCAGAAATTCCTTTTCCTTAAAAGTCATCTGCGGCATAAAACAACTCTACTCATGGCGTCCTGCTGATCTTGGCCGCTGACTAACTCTAGGAGTGTGAAGTAATTTCCAAGGTCATGGGACACCTCCGCTCCGAAAAGCGTGGATAGCCGACTCAACGGACGCTTCGACGCTTTTCCAGGTCGGTCACTACGGAGCCCATCTCACAGGCGACTACCCACTCATCCAAAACATGCAAAGCGCAGAATTTACGCCCCCACGATCTCCTGTGGAGAAACATGTCGCCTTCGAGCCTGAAAGTGTGGCTATTTCCGAGTCGACGGTGTTTGAACCTGTACTGGAAAAGCGCGTATGGCGGAAAATGGACAAGTGGGTGCTACCCATCGTGTCGATGTTCTATTTCCTTTCTTTCCTTGTGAGTAAAGCAACACTTCTTTGGTGGCTCCGTTACTTATTTTGGAATGGAATCTAGGACAGGACAAACCTTGGTGCTGCCCGTGTCGCTGGTTTACAGAGTGACCTTAGGATGACCGACAAACAATACAGCATTGCATTAACACTCACCTACGTCCCGTACATTGTTGCCGAACTACCGTCGAACCTTGTTCTCAAAGTGAGCTAAACACTATTCATAGTATTGTTCAAACGTCCAACTCTATTAGGCAGTTGGTCCGAATTTGATGCTGCCAACCATGTTAACGCTTTGGGGGGTTGTTACAACACTAGAAGGTCCGTGTCATACATTAACTTGCTTTTTATTCAATATGTCCAACTAGTTCAAATTCAGGCACCGTGACTACTTATCAACGGCTCTTGGTTTGTCGCTTCTTCATAGGACTCTTCGAAGGTCGGTACCGAAACATTAGTTATCCGCTCGAATTTATCTCATACTTCAGGCGGTGTGTTCCCCGGACTAGTACTCTATCTTTCCTACTTTTATCCTCGGCAACAGCTACAATGGAGGTAGACCTATATATATTCGTCAAAGATCCCATTCACACCAATCACTTTATAGAGTGTCTGCATTCTTTTCTACCGCTTCGATCTCTGGTGCATTCTCCGGTTTATTAGCCTTTGCTATTATCAATATGGACGGAATCGGTAGACGCCCCGGCTGGGCTTGGATATTCATCCTTGAAGGGCTCTTCACTTTTCTGTTCGGATTGTGTTCCTACTTTCTCTTGCCCCGTTCACCATCGCACGCACGCTTCCTTAATGAAAAAGAAAATATCTACGTTGTGGAACGCCTGCATGAGACTGGGGCCACAGCTCGCGATGAAAGCGCGGACGGGTTCAATTGGAGGGAGGTGGGCCAGGCATTTACACTTCCTCAAGTGTGGATGCTAGCTGTTATTCTATTCTTCAACGGTGTGTACCCGCACGAATTAATTTGTGCCGTATATAAACTGTCCACCAACAGGCGCAATACTCCAAGGACTTGCATAGTATGTCCGATCACTTTCCACTTATCGTGGTACTACAAAATCAACAACACTTTCAGCTTCGCACCCTCAATTGTACGAACCTTAGGATACACAGCTGCCCGTGCCCAACTCATGAGTGTACCCCCGTTCGCCACATCTTATGTCGGTACGTCAATCTATATCCCTTCATTCAGAAATTTTCATGACGAAGGGTCTAGTGGCTATGATTGCCGCATATGTTTCTGATCGATACCATTGCCGCGGTTTCGTGACCATGTTTAGTTCGAGTCTTTGTGTTGCAGGTTTCGCTGTATTTTTAAGTAAGTTTCCCAAACCGAATGAAAATCAGCAGCTGAGAAATTCCCT